GACCTGCTTAATCCCAGCATGCATTAGGAGATATTTTAGTTTCAGTCTTTCTAATAAAGTTTATCCCACTTAATTACAATTAAAACACTTTTTTCCCCCCTCCAAGCAGCTCTTTTGATTTTTTTCCACGTGGCACGTTGGTGGCACATTCCCTCATTACCTCAAGACACCCCCCCCCATATTACAGAAAGGTTTGGTGAATTTGTTCAAAGTTTATCAAAGTTTGCCTTTGCTCGAATAATAAACCCAACTCAGATCGAGCCAAGCTGCAGGATCTGCCCCACCCCCCGCCCCATTGTTTCCCGGGCTTCCGTGTGACTGGGGTTATTGGGATTATTCTGCTTCACAACATGCACGTCTTCCCTGGGATTTGAATGTTTGCCTCTTGCAGTCATGGTCCTTCTCTTCAATCCAGATTTACTCCAAAGTGAAAAATCTCCTTCACTTTGGTAACAAGTGCAAAACAAATCCCGCTGCAGCTTTTGAATTGTGAAAAACTCGTTGGGATTCACATTTTTAAAATATATTTCATTAAATTGCTTATTAAAGGAATTTAAAAGACTATAATAAGCCTTAACCGACAGCTGTAAAATAAAATTAAGATTTAGGCTGTAGGAGTGCAACATTGATCTATGTTGATTAAATGGCCATCAACACCAAATGTAAAAATTGACAGTATAATATTTTTTATCAAACACACTTTTATTTTAAAAAATTGGATTATTTAGCAGTTCCGCTGACTATTTTCCATCGGTTCCTGCATGTGTTAAATGTGCTGCAGACACGTTTAGTCAATCATTTGGCACTTTAGTGCATCTTGGTGGCGCAGTGGTTAGCACTGTTGCCTCGCAGCACGAAGGTTGCAGGTTCAAAACTCGGCTGCGGCCTTTCTGCGTGGAGTTGCGTGTTCTCCCCATGCATGCGTGGGTTTCCTCCGGGTACTCCGGTTTCCCCCACAGATCACAACATGCCCTATAGGTTTGAAATTGTAAGTCGCTTTGGATAAAAGCGTCTGCTAAATGAATAAACATAAACATCTTAGTTGAAAATTAAATTTTCTGCCTAAAACTGTCAGTGTTGGGCCGTCTTTAGAATCAGAATCAGAATGAATTTTATTGCCAGCGCTCCAGATCAGAGCATAGGAACTTGACTCCATAGTACAACCTGACCAAGGTTACACACACATATAGACAGGACAGATACAGGCAGACCATGGGAGCAGCCATGACGGCGCTCCTTTGTAGATGAATGAGGGAATACGTGAGGAAAGTTCAGGGGAGGGAGAAAAAAAAAGGCATTAACAGGGTTACAACTCTACATTGCATTTGAATTCAAATGTGCCAAAGTCGCTATTGGCTAAAAGGTGCACTATGACGTTAGCTGGTACATTATGACATCACAATGTCATTGTGAGCCTGTGTGTGTGTGTATTTGTTAGCAGCTCAGGCCTCTCAGTCTGCCAGGCAACATCACTTGTTGCATTTTTTAAACAGGAAGTGGGAGTGGAGTAGGACTCTGGTAGGGGGTGACTTGCTCTTTAAATGAAGACATTAGACAGTTAGAAAGGTCAATCAGTGACAAAATCAGCAGTGTTCTCCAGTAGGAGTGAATGCCTTGTAAGTCGTACTCTAAGGAAAAGAAGCACTGGTGCAACAATTTTAGGAACTAGAAGTGAGTCACATCACAGCTGAGCTTCAGACGGCAGGAGTTGGAGTCTTATTTCCTGATATTTGGACGTCTCTCCTCTGATTGGCTAACAGCAACACAGCTCCAACATTAACTCTGTTTGCTCTGCAATGTTGATGTCTTCCACAAATAACACAAACCCGGAGGAGTTCTGCTGTGTGGTGGAGTTGCTAATGCTAATGGTTAGCTACTGCTAGCCGAGACGTTCTCTGATGTTTCCTGGACGCTAAACCAACAACAGCCTTACCCGTCGTGAGTCCAGACGGGTGAGTCCACGAATGTTAGTGACAGTGTGACGTAGATCTGTCAGGATTTTCTAATCCTGGAGTTTCAACGTCTGTTTTCTATCAGAAGCTACTGCAGGGGATCGATGTAGGAGACTATTTTCATGTTCGGCCTGCATGAGAAACCCAGAGTGAACCGTTACGATCAGAAATAAGATTTAGAAAATGGTTTTTCAGTGTTCCACACTTTTACATTTTTGAGTCAATAGACCTACTTGGTTAATTGGCGGATCTGCCTGCAGCTAATGTCAGTCAGTCATTTATTCTCCCATTTCTTGTCCAAGGTTGGGTGATAGGGGTTGTTAATCCAAAGGGGAACTTGGAAATCCTTTTCCCAAGCAAAAATTTCCGAAACCTTCTAGGGATGTGGTTTTCTATGCCTAGAGAGTTGGAAGTGTCTGTATAACCTTCATTGTGAAGCAGCTCTACTCAGACAACGGGGATCCTCACCTTGGAGGTGGCGACGGTGGCTCGAAGGTTAGGAGTTCGCCCTGTAACCGGTGGTTGCCAGTTAGAAGCCAGGCTCTGTCTGTGTCAATCACTATGTCCTTGGGTAACCTGTTTCCCTGCTGGCGGTGGCTGAAGGGACCGGCGGCGCCGATTGTGTGGCAGCCGCACTTTTGCCAATTTGCCCTAGGGCAGCTGTGGATACAGCTCATTGCCATGCGTGTGTGAATGGTTCTGGTTGTACTGGAGTCCCTGACTTAGAAAGGTTTGTTTTCATTTTCTCATTTTAATTAGTCACGGTCCAAATTTCATGACCTCAGGTGAGGACTGGGATCTAGATGGACCGAAAATGAAGAGCTTAGCTGTTCTCCTCAGCTCTTTCTTCACCACTGGAGACTGGAGTGCTCGGCGTGAGTGTAGGTTCTCCAGCACTTCCTCCTCAACGGTTAAACATCGCATCTTTTGAGGTGGTGGTAGCATCATGTTGTGGGTCTCTAGCCTGGACATTTCTAAAAACTTTAATTATTATGTATTTTATTTTTCTCACACTGTAATTACAGACGATAAACAAACACCCTACAGACTAGAGCGAGTAAAATCTGAAGAAACTCATGGTGCCGATTTAGGCATTCACCGCAGTGCTGCTGTGACTGGATGTCACAAAAATGTTAGCTTTTGTTGCACAATTGAACAATATGTAGGAATGAAAGAAACATTGTTCTTGTTGCTAGATACGGTAGTTGCCTTGGGTTGAATTAATTGATGCTACTCTTCCTAATCATTAATATCATGTGAAAAGGACGAAATTATCCGTTTATTTAATTTATTATTGTTTTGTAGAGACGCTATCATCAGGAGAAATTAGGAAGTTTCATAACTTTTTTTCTGTCATGATTTTATTTTTTGACGAAATGAGGCTGCGGTAGCTCAGGAGGTACAGCGGGTTGCCTCATGATTGGAGGGTTGTGGGATTGATTCCAGCTCCCGCCAGGGGCGTTCTGCTGTAGTGTCCTTGGGCAAGACACTTCACCCAACTTGCCTGTGTTGGTGGTGGTCAGGGGTGCCGATAGGGATGGGTACCTTTGACATTTGAATCGATCCGGTACTAATTACGGGTACCTAGGAATCGATACCGGTACTTAACGGTACCAATTTTCGATACTTTTGAGTGTTTATTATTTTAATTCTATTTTATAATTAAATATATATTTTTCTCAATATATAACAATATTTGATAAATATCACGATAAATAACATTCAACTGTTTGTATTTTAACATCGTCCTTGTAGTTTTATAAGCTGATAATTAAACTGAAGCAAACATCTTTACTGTGAACTAAATTTACTGAGTATCTTCATTCCTTTTACTGTCTTTTTTCATTTGATTTTTCCTACTGGGAAGTTATAATTTCCGAGGAGAAAGCGAACGCACCATTAGCTGATAACAATGGTGGCAATGGAAGCTAACATATCAAGCTAACGATATCTTAAACAGTTTATTTAGCTGCTGGAGCAGATTAAAACGATGATGCCTCACACTTAGATCGTCACTGGTTTCGTCTTCACCCAATCACCCGTCACATTTAGTAAAGTGAAGCCAAACTTTAGAGCGCGTTCATGTTGTTCTAGTCGGAAATTCGGAGTTCCGAGGAGAAAGCGAACGCACCGTTAGCGAAACGGAAGCTAATATATCAAGCTAATTATATTTACCTACCGGAGCAGATTAAGATGAGGATGTCTCACTTAGATCGTTGTCGCTGGTTTCATCATCCAGTTACCCATCACATTTAGTGAAGTGGACCCAAGCTTTAGCGTGCGTTCTTTCGACCATGCTGCTCTGTTTACAACTGGTTCACAGCAAGCGACGACAAAACGCTCCTGCGCATGCGCAGCTGTCTTGGCAAGTTCTCGTTAGGATGGACGGGTACCGAAACGAGGCACCGTTTGAAATGACGTGAATCGGTGCACGGTCGGTACTATGGAATTCGGTCGGTACCTTAAAAGTACCGAATTCGGTACCCATCCCTAGGTGCCGATGGTGAGAAATAGCGACAAACCATCACCAGCGGTGTGTGAAGAATGTAAAGCGCTTTGGGTGCGTTAACAAGCATGATATAAATCCATATATAAATTCTTTGTTATTAGGCACGTCAGAAAGTGTCAATATGGCAATACATCGGGATTTTTTCCTGCAATATTATATCGATGTTCAAAAGCAAATATTTGTGTCTTTTCTTTTCTTTTGGTGCAATTCAAACACCGACCACTAGTTGGCTGCAGTGTGCAGTGGGTTTAGTTGTAAATCCCTCTATTGTGGTTCAGAAACCTCATGTTAAACATGTCAGGTATCAGTTTGGACTGTTTATTGAATTTTCCTACAACAAATTCAGTCTAAAAAATCACAAATACCGTTTAACTGAATGTATCGTGATATATTGTATCTTCTCCCCTGCGTTGTGATACGTATCGTATCACCATAATTTCACCAATACACATCCCTAATTGTTATTCTTATGATTCTAATTATTATTAATAATGATAATAAGTTCCTTTTTTTTTAACCTCTCGTCCATTTCTAAATAGATGGCTGTAAAAATCGCTCAAGCTGCTGATTGTCGTGACTTCGTGCAGCAGAAACAGGAAGAAGAAGCTAAGAGGACGGCGCTGAAGAGGAGGAAGCAGTTAGCCTGGGGGTATGACGTCTCCGTCCTCGTCTTTATGGTCGCCATCATTTCTGCCACTTTGCTGTGCTTTGACATCTAAACTATTCATGTACGCTTCCATGTTTATTTTGTTTCTAGGTTTGAGATGAAGAAACGATGGGAGACCAAAAGCAACATGGGCTACATGTGAGAAACCAAGGAGAAGAAGCAACGTTTAAAATATGATTTAATGAAAAGGTTTCAAAAAGTCTGATCATGATTTATATATATATATATATATTTTTTTTTTTTTTTTGTTTTTGTTTTGAAGTGTTAAACCAGCTGGGTTGAGGTGGGGGTGAGGGTGGGGGAGCTGTCGGCTAAGAAAACCAATCCAGAGAGTGCAAAGAAAAAAATGGAGCCTTCCAATTAATTCCTAAGGCGCCTACTGGTGTCTGCATTGTTATTTTTCATTACATTTGAGCACTCTGGACCTTTTTCCCCTTCAAATTAAATCTGGTGTACATTACTGGATGATGCGTTTATTTATTGCTGTAAAGTGGGTTAATCATGAAGGCGCGCCTTTCTTCTTCAGAGGCAGAGAAAGAAAAGATTAGAGCTCTAATGCAATGTACAGGATAATGTGCCATAGGATTTGGGAGCAGAAAAAGAAATTTGGCTGCTGTAAACTGTTGTGAGCGGTTGTAAACTGGAACTTTGAAAAGAGACTTTGCTACCGCTGGAAGACACGCTTTTGTTCCCTTTGTTTTTGTGGAGTCTACACTTGCAGATCATTGTGTTCGGAGCTCTCCTCGGCATCTGTAAACTTGTCGGAAATCCACTAATTCCAGCTGTTGTTGCTGCCGCTTTGATCTTTTTTACATCTGCAGCGTTCGCTTCCACGGCGACTCTGCTCTGCTGAAAACGGCTCATTCACATTCCAGGAAGTCTTAATTTCAAACAGTCCTTTGAAAAAATGTTAAATAAAAAAGACAATTACTTTATTCATAATGCGTGGTTCCCCCATCCCCCACCCAGAAAAGAGGAGGGAAAAAAAACGTGGAAAGTGATTGCTTTGCTTCAAGGTAATGAGAATTAAAATGAGTTTAACTTGTTTGCATTGCACATATTTGAGCGGTTTGTCCTCCAGTGAAGTATTTTTGTAGGTTTGCAGGTTTAATCAGGGCGAGGACAAATTAACACGACATCAGCAAAAAATTGAGAAAAAAAGTTGGCTGGCAATTATGATACAAAATCCTAGATGGTTTCTAACATGGGCTGAGTAATAATAAGCTGAAAGGACTGTTTTTTTTTTTAATCACATTGTGTCCAAAGTGTGGCACGTGGGCCATTTGCGGCCGTCAGACGGAGTTTGTGCGACTGTAATTCCAGAATGGCTGAATTTTCTTTCGTCAGTGGAGGAAGGATGTTTAACATTTTAATGTTAAAATGTTTGAGGCCTCATAAAAAAACTGATAAATGAAGTTATAAAATAAAACATTCTGTGCTCCGATTTGGGTATTGTATTCCATGTTTCAAAACGAGTGTCAGATATTTGTCATTTTTAATACTGAATTTTACTGAAAACTCCCAAAAGACAGGAAGTTTATGTGAGATCTCGACGTTTGTCAGACAGAAGGTGGTACAAGCCGCTGCTGACTAGTGGTCAGATTGAATTACACTACACAAAAGAAATACAGTAAATGTAAATGTGCAACCTCTTAATATAATAAACAGTAATTTGCCTTTAAAGGTGCATTATGTAAGAATGACATCTCGTGGTTTATTTCAAAACAAAATGAGTGCGTTTCTCACTGCCGATCCGTGGGTTTCATGGATGTTGCCTGTGATGTATGCAGACTTTACCGCAGGCTCACAGATCATAAACAGTGACTACATCCCTCTTTGGCCATTTTTACTGGAGAAAAACTGGCAACCCCCCAGCTGGCTGAGAATGAAACCTGTTCCAATGAAACTTTCCTTCCAACATGATTGAGACAAACTGTTTTGTCATAATTTCTCTGTAGAATGTATTTTACCTTTAAAGTAACAACAGATGCTTTTTTTTTCTTTTACTTTAAGCTAGCTGTAACACTGATCTCAGTGACTGATGCGTTAGAAACTTGACCAGTTTCATATTGACACCACTCTGCGGCCCTTTGCTGCCCAAATAACCAAACTCGATAGTTTTGTGTCCTAGAAGGTGCTCTTTACCTGCTTAACAGCTGTTAGCATTTTCAGTTCGCTAGTCATCAATAAAACACACAAGAAGAACAAAAAGAAGTTTGCCTTTACTGTTGACATCGTAGCGGAGCCTGGAAGTAAAAGTAAGAGCTAAAACCAGAGTGAACATCGGTGCGACCGTTTGAGGCAGCTAAAGAAGGCTACAAAATCACGAACTGATGGTGACCTGGCTTTGTTTCTGCGGTACTTGTAATAATGTTTTTGTCCAGCTATGTGGGTCTTTTTACTTTGTGGCTTATTTAGTTAGACTTGGCTCATGTCAGTGTTAGCTCGTTGTTAGCTCTAGCTGCTGCAGGGTTGTCTATGACAGTTGTAATTCCACTTTCAACCAGTAGTGTGAAGGAGCCGGAAACTGCTCTGTGTTACTTTAAAGTGCATGTTTTATTGTGGTTTCCTGGTAAATGGAAGCACAAACCCTCACTGACTTTGACTAAACATCTGACTTGATCACCGTTCATAAAACGAATGAATCCAACAAACGTGGCAGAAAACAAGAGTGACCCACATCCTCGCATTTATTTTACCAACAAACTGGAAAACACTCCACCCAGTTGGTCCAAAGATTCAGATGTGTGTTATTCTATTGAGACAAACGTTCAAGACCCTTTAATTGTATCGTGAAAAAATACCAAATACTTCCCTTTCATTTACATATTGTGTGTTTAATGTGTTCCTGAGCAGGAAACCACTTTATCACGTTTTTGTGACCCTCGACTTTGTGATTTTTTGGCCTGCAGATTAAAAGGGTTCAACATTGCCGATCGAGGTTTTTAAAATGTTTCAGTTTTTGAGATTTTGTGATGATTATGAGACACAAGTCAAAACAACGTTTAACACAACACAATCCAACGAAGGTTGCAAGAACCAACCAGCTGTAAGTTTTATTAAAAGCTGTCCAGTGGCTAAATCATTTCAGACCTTTTGATAGCAGACAGTCGATACACGTTGACTTGAGGAAACATCAAAACTGATTCGTTCAAATGTAAAACGAATGCATTTATTTATTGTCTGTGTACATTTGATCTTTGGTTTCAGCTGGTATCGAATTACACTCATCAGCTTTGTATTGGACAAAAGCCCCAGAATACCGACATAAAAGTCATGCAACCATTTCTGGTTAGCTAGAAGATGCCGGTGAACATGATGCGACCCAATTCAAGAGCACCACGGCTGCATATCATTAGCATCTTGCTTTATTAATCTCTTTGAATACAGGACAGTGCCTTGAGCAGAAATGAATCTACTTTTAAGCTGGAACGTCCACTTCTTCCTCGAACCGTGTGAAGGTATTTTTTATTATTGTTTCATAACTGAAGGCCAGTCTTAGCCCCTGACCTGTTAGCTGTTTTGTTCAGAAACTACGAGACAAAGTCCTCTGGGCAAAACCCGAACCTCTTCGAGGAAGTGTTTGTTGTGTTGAGGCAGATTTAAAAACCAACAACAAAAATCCTATTAAGAGGTAGGGAAGCTGCTGTTCTATGAAAAGGAACATGTGTTTGCTGGTAACGAGACATCTGCCCTATCAGTCGCTGCATCGTCGTCGAGGAGAGGATTAGCCGAGGAGAGATCTCTGAGATGCCGCCGATAAAACCCTGAGATCCTAAAGCACCCCACGCCTAGCTCAGAGGGAGTCTGACTTTGTTGTGGAATGGTTACTGTGGCTTCCCACTCCAGTGCTGGCAGGTTCACTTCTATGTGCTTTATCTGTTAAAATGATGGAAAACAATGATTTATGAGATCAAATTTAAAAGAACAAAAATGTCAGAAACTCCTGCTAGGGGATTCCAAAGCATTCCCAGTTCAGAGAGGATATACGATCTCTCCTGTGAGCGAGTCTTGGATCAGTTACCCACCAAGTAGTACATGACTTACTTGGCTTTTGAGACGTATGCAAAACTGACCTTTTGCATGCTTTTGTGCTGGCACGTGGGTCTCTAGTGCCCTGGTGAGAATAATCTGTCCATTTTAGGTCAGTGCTTGGTTTCAGGAATTTTGTGCTTAAATAAGCTGTTTGAACGTCCCTGTTTGTGATGTCACAAACAGAGAAATTAGATTTGAGTCACCTCACATGCAAGATACAGCTGCTGTTGAAGGAGTAGCGGTGTCGGTACAGGATCTGCTCGGGTGCAAGATCGGCTCGGGGTCCGTCGACTGCCGATGACGTCAAAGTAGTTGATTGGCTGAACATGAACCTTACGGAATTACGTAATCACGTTACGTTGTTATCACGTTACGTTGTTATCACGTTACGTTGGTCCAGGCAAATCTTTCTATTGGAAAGATGGACAACTTTTACAAAGAAATCCATCATTACCTCTTTGAATATACACTTTTAGCATAGAGCTGCATGTATATTAGGCTGAACGATTAACTGCATGTGCAATTAAATTGCGATGTGACAAAAGGAGATTTTCTAATCTCAAAGGCTTCAATTTGGCAGCGAGTGGTTAGCGTAATGCTAATATACATGGAAAAACCCATAGGAATGCTAATGCTAATATCGCCGATTACATTATTGCAAATAATGAATTACAAACGTGCCAAATGATTACATTTGGAGTCTAATAGAAAGTAAAAATACCATCAATCAAATAAGTACAGAAAGGTTTTTTAGTAAAGCCAGAAAACTTTTAACTCCAGAGTTTTGGCTAGCAGCTACAGTCTATGACAAGACGTCAAAAACTCTAAACACAAAATACTTCAATAAACGGGACACACTTCTTTCCTGCAAATACAATTTCACAGGTGTTGCTAATACCTATGATTCTTCAAGGGATGTGCTCAAAGAGGAGTTCAACATTATGAATAAGATATAGTGTTTTATTTTACAAATACCATTATAAACACAAACTTACGTCTTAAGAAACGTTATTTTAATAACGAAAGTGCTAAATTCTTTCCAACAGTATAGATGTGTAGTGTATTTTGTCCGAGTCTGTTTGCCGTACTTTGACGTCATCGGCAGTCGAAGGACCCCGAGCCGATCTTGCACCCGAGCAGATCTTGTACCGACAGCGGCTGTACTCCAAGCTTCTCCCGAATATCTGAGCTCAGCTTACAGCAGCCTGAGCGAGAATGGGTGGGCATGACCAACTCCAGATTGTTTTCTTAAAGTGATAAGAGTCCTGAAACGGCTCATTCTGGAAGGTACTGAAACAGTGGAGAATGGTTTTGTTAAATTAATTTATTTTTGACGGGCACGACCCTGGGTTTATGTTTACATCTACCAGCCAATAGAGGGCACCATTGCGGGTTGCCAAACAGTCCGAGGCTTGCACTGTGGAAAATGGCCGACTCGGCAAGTCAAGGGCGAGCTGTTATAGAACATGTTCCTGTTCAGCATGCATGGATTTCATAGAGAAAAAGTATTGCATGGTTCCTCTGTGACCGAGATCATTAAACATGAATCTCTAAAGCAAGCAAGAAAAAACAACAACAAGCAGTTTGTATTAATGAACTAAATTTTAAATTAATTAATTAAACATTGTCACATCTTCTGTGTTAATTATGTTTATTCAAGTGTGTTGCGCTTCAGGGCTGCTGTATTTACCAAAAAAGCAAAATCTTTTCAAATCGGGTTTTTTTAGAGCACATTTCTGTACATTCTGCTCTGAAGCAGCAACAGAAAAGCCAATGTTGGGAAAAAATCCCTCCACTGATTTAATAACCTGTTTAATTCTGGCACATCTGCAGCCCTCTCAGATCTTTAGCGGCTTTAATTAGTGTAATTGTCACTCTTAAATAAAGGCCACAGGTTTGTTTAATGGGTCGTGTTTGTCAAGATGGACGGAAAAATGACAAAATACATGCCATTTATTCCGTGCTGCAGTTTTGGAGTCATTAGGGGTGTCACGATTGATAATTAGAGGAGAACTGATTCATCTGAAGCTAAATTGGACCTCTGCGGTGTGAGAAAATTAGTTTGACGGCGCTTGGATGAGTGTTGTTTACACTGCGGCGGGGCAGTGTGGGAACACCTCGCTCTGGTGTTAACCAAATGCACACACTTCCTCCTGTTTGGGGAAGAAAGTGGCATCTGGAGCAACACCTGGATCATTTTAGTCAGGATTAAACTTCCTGTCATGTGATCAAGACACTGACTCCATCAGAGAGCTTTTTTCTTCAAGACGAGAACGCTGAAATCAGCAATTTAATGTAAATAGTTAAAGGTACTCCCTCATTAATTAGCCATATTAAAGGAGGAATATGTAAAAAGTCTACAGTAAATCACTAAACAGCATCTCAATCTTATTGGGAGGAAGGTTACAT